GAGAGAGAGAGAGAGAGAGAGAGAGAGAGAGAGAGAGAGAGAGAGAGAGAGAGAGCAAGAGATGAAAAGAAAATGCATATGTTATACTTCAGGGAATACTGAATTATTGGTTTTGTCTGCTCTTTATTCCTACGTACTACACCGATATCATACATCCTACACCTTAATAATAATAATATAGATTTAGGCACTGCCTAAAAGCGGAGCTCCCGATAGGTGACTCGAGGATAATCTTCGATCCATGGATGCGATTGGATGCATGGCGACGCACGTCCCTAGCCTCCCTTTTCGCTTATTGTGCTTATTCGCTTATTGTGCAACTTGCTGTGTGTGTACATGTGTGTGTGTGAGGCATATCACATGACAATGGTGTTCCCCTGCCCCTATGACAAATTTGTCAAAGGTTAATTGCTTGCGTGGAAGTGTTTACTTCTTGAGATACCAAAAACGTTCGCAACGTAACGTAGCGATGTAGTAGCAGTAGTAGTAGTAGTAGCAGTAGTAGTAGGGATCACAGGCACTGATCAATAAAATATAATGCTAAATAAATACGAAATCTATTTACTACCAAAGTCTTAATGTTTCTCTACTCTCTTTCACCTATTATTGCCGACAATTTCCTGTAAATGCCGTCCAAATGATCATCTGCAACATACGCTGGCTGCCGCACGCTAGCTGCTGCACACTGACACATAAATATATAGAGAAACATTAAGACTTTGGTAGTAAATAGATTTCGTATTTATTTAGCATTATATTTTATTGAAACGCTGTGGTAGGGATGTGTACACGGACGTACGTACGGACGCACCATCGAAAATGAAGTGGATCATGGGTTACCATTCTGTGGTGCTCCGCTCGCGCGGGCCTTCGGCGTCCCGACTCTCAAACTCGAATCGAAACTGAGACACTCAAAAGGATTAGCCTGTAATTCGGACTATCAATAAATGTCGAATGTAAACGGTCCTTTTGTTACGGCAAGCTCCGGCTCCTGTATGAAACACGAATGCAGTGTTTCATTACCACAAATTAATGTCTCCATTACTCCGCCGCTGGCTCTGCTACGATACACGGCCGCGTAGTCATTTAGCAGTTGTTTACATGGCACATATTTGGTGTGGAAGGCTGTTTCCCTCTTGTGTTGCCATCCTTGCTTTCCGCAACGGAACCTCTTGTCCTGCCCACGGATGGACTTCATCAGAAACGCTCTTGTATCTCTCGGGGCGGGTAGCCACAGATAGCCTAGCGGGCGAGGATGCAGAGGGAAAACCATGTCTTTTGGGTAAATTCGACTTGCGTCGCTTTCGTGATGACTTTCCCATACATGCGTACTGTTGTCGTCGAAAAATGCTATGTCAATGAAAGGCCACGCCCACTCATAGCGCCGGCCCCACGTCTTGGGCGTACTGGAGAAAAATAACTTCATGTATCGTTTCGACGTGTGATTGGCTAGCTTATACTCTGGGCTGAGAGAAAGCAGAGCTGTCGCCATCCGGTGTCGGTCGATGTGACGCACCATGATGTCTATGTCATCGTCCCAAGGCAAAATGTCGTGTGACATATACGAGCCTGAAAAACATCGAATGAAATATCGTGAATTCAAATGGCTTTAAAACGTCACAACTCTCGTTCGACCCTATATGCCTACACGTTTTGGTTAGAAGGTAGGACTAATTGAATAAAATTATATCAATCAATATTTTATTGTCATGCGTCGCTGACACCTACCGTATAAAGCTCCTCCGAATAGGAGGTATGATATACTGTTAGACAGGAATACCATATCTATTATCTCCATCAGAGACATCATTTTAAGCCATTCCGGTTGTGACATCACTCGTCGGCTGGATGTGCTATCGCTCCACTTAGGCATTTTAACGATACAGTTCACATTTGGTTCAAGCACCGTTAAATTTTTACGATTCGTCCAGATACGGCCGTCATTCTGTGCTATCATTGGCCAGTCGACGAAGGGTCTGCCAATTGCCAGTCTGGAGCGTTTATGTCCAAATAATGCATCGCCGCCGTCCAGGGCAAGAAACAACAGTAGGCCTACACAGCAGACTGCTAGCAGACTACAGGCTGCTAGAAAAGCTTTAGAACACGTCACGTATTTTATCTTCCACATTCTCCGATTCTGGAACTCTCTTCCTTCTCCTCGAGTTCACGGTATAATGTAAATCCCTTCCACTTGCAATGCACAGTGTTGATCGGTCAATTTGATCAACGTTAAGTCCTCTCCCAGTCCTCTCCGTTCAGTCCTGTCTATGAGGAATGTTTCTTGTGGCGCTATGATATTATTGTCCCTCATTTTAATGAACAGTAGCGACACCGCATCTTCCTTAATTGTCGTGTAGCGAATTACAAGAGTAGAAAACCAATTCCAAACGCCTTTCGAAGATGTGTAGCATCTGGAGTTCATTTTATTAGCAATTAACGAGCAGGTGATATCGTGATGAATTATGCAGCTAGCCGCGCCGGCATCACGACTAGCATAGGTGTGAAGCAAACGGTCAGAGAGGCGGCAGGGCTGCGTTAACAAAGGTAATGATGTCATACTATGTATATATGCCCAATTCATCAATAGATTTAATTGCGAGCGTCTCGATGTATTCAGTATTGGCTAATTTATCTAATATTATAACAATGAAACACATATGATATAATATACATAAAATGATACTTATCGTGCGGATATCCGTGGGTGTGTAGTAGGGAGTGTGATCTACAACGATTCCCAAGTAACCAACCGCTATAATCAATGCTTTACTCATGAATGATGGAACACTTTCGAGAGTCCATGCAATGACTCTCTGCGTGTGAGTGAGGATGTGTCAATGTGGTGTAACGAAATAAACACGAAATGTATTTACTACCAAAGTCTTAATGTTTTTCTTCTCTCTTAATTTCGCCTATCATTACTGATAATTTCCTGTAAATGCCATTCCTGTTTGGCTGCCTCGACCCTGCAGGAAGAAGATCGCCATCAGCCGCCGTATCTGCTATACTATCGCCGCTATATTGCTATACTATTGCCGCTGGGAAATAGAACAATACCGCGGCATATCGATCTTTAATTTTTCGGATAGAGTCCCAATTGTGTTGGCGTCAGTTTAATTCGAAATTATACGGCACTCCGGCATATGCTGGAAAGCCACTGAGCCAAACATTTCATTCAAACAGGTTTCACCAAGGCTGCGTACACTTATAAAAAACAGTTTCTACTAAGGACGATCTGGGATACGTGTGCTCACTGCGTTCCTGGAGGATGGCGCTGCGCGAACGAGTGGCAAGCAGGGCATGCAACAAGTCCCGAGTCTCATTCATTCGGTACATACGCGCACGAGCCATATTTACTATGTAGACGTTATAAAGCCCGATGGATAGACGCGCATGCAGGAAACAGTAATGTGAAAAACGGTAATTATTATCACTGTCATAATGCATTTTTGTCGTTTCAAGCTCAGAAGAAACCGGGTAAACTTGCAATGGAGGGCTAGGTTAGACGCGGCCATTACTAATTGTAACATTGTGTTAACCGCGTCTTTGGTCGTGCATCGCAGAACAGTTGGTGATAGTGCGGCACTTGTCAGCCGTGCGAGCGCGCTTCCAACGACTATAGGTGTTCCCACTGACGCAAGAGACGTAGACCTCGCGGCCGATGTACGAATTTAAAAGAGTAGTTATGAGAACTATATATATATGTATATATATAAACAAAGTCAAATTATAGAATAAGGGTGTTTAAAATTTAATCAACGAGCTTTTCGAGATTACATCTCTTTATCAGGTCAGCAGACATTGGAATACAAAAACAAATACAATGCGTTATAAGATATAATCGAAAAGGAATCATTCAAACAATTCGCGCGTTGCCATGAACACGGATGACGAACGAACACACTACACACACACACACACCACACACACACACACACACACACACACACACACACACACACACACACACACACACACACACACACACACACACACACAACGATTGCAATGTTATCATAAATAATTATGTGATACAAAGGCGTCTACAAATCACACGTAATTGAAGTTAACATTCATATCCCGGTTTCAAACAACCAACCCTCACAATTAATTTCTGCCAGTCGTGTGTCGACGTGAGCTGTTGTAATATAATACTGAGTTGGCAGCCACAAACACGCAAGTCATCAATGCGGTGATCCGGTTGGTTAAAGTGGTCAGCAACCGGAAAACCATACAAATTGAGGCGGATAATCTTAGGTGTTCAACAAACCTATCCTCAAGACGGCGTTTTAATTATTTCGCCAATATAGTAAATTTTGCAGTTTACGTATTCAATGGCGTAAATGAGGTTCGTAGACACGCATGTAAAGAAACCCCCACTATAATTTTGCCCCGAGGCCCCTGAGCCACAGACTTATTTGTGATAAAATTGCAAGTACTGCAACGTTTCCGACAACACGGGTATGAGCCAGGTTGGCTCACGGGGTTGTCAGTGTTCTATATACGGTACTTATTGAAACAAGAGTGTTGCGGAGGTTAGTATCACGTCTGTTCGAGCATAAAGGCGGTTTTGAAAAGATGTTAGCTGTGATTGGATCGTTTTGGAGAATTTTATAATTATCAATTAATAAACTTTTGATGTGTAGGATTGAAGGGTGATAGGTTAAAACCAATGGACGTCTGTCTGAAGTTTTATTTCCGCCGTCTTTTTACTTTACTTCTATATATATAAGGTATGATATATATATATATTATATATATATATATATATATATATATATATAATATCAGGGGTTATAAAATGACAAACATTTGTCAGTTATTAACCCCTGATATATCGATCCAATTACTCACAATCTAATCATTTATCATGCTCTCCTAATTCATTATAGTGGCAATTTTAATTTATTTTTTGTAGCCTCTAAATTTATGCTTGATTTTTTATATACGTATGTGCACTATTGTAACAGTAGATCAAGCCCAACCGATTGTTACCCTTGTTATGCATGTGGAACCTAGCTGGCAGTCACCTGTTGATACCAGCCGCGTTCACACGTAGCAAGAAATCCGGTATTCACACCGGATTAACGTTCACACGAGGCAAAATGCGCGCGTCAAGAAATACGGTATCTAAACAGATCCGGTAATTTGGATGTAAATACGCGGGCTTCCCTGACCGAATAATTTGCGCCTTGTTTAGAAATACCGAATCTCTTGGACGCGCATTTCCTCCGTGGGAACATACCAGAGGCGTGCTCAGGAGAGCGAACTCTCGCGAGCGCTCGCGAGCGCTCGCCTTCTGAACGACACTGCGCGAGCGAGTCTGCGAGTTCTTAAGGGTCGTGTATTTTATAAACTGGTCCGCGCTCGACAGTTCAGTGTAACGCGCAGGGAACTGTCGAGCGCGGACCAGTCTATATTTATTTATCGGCAGTTGGTGCGGATTGCATTGTTTATTTCGCATTGTTCGCCTTGGATATGTTTTAAAGCAGCTCGCAGCTCGCAAATACCGTATTTCTGGAGCCGCGAATCAGCGTGTGAATGCTCGGCCGCGTATTTGTCTCAGATTCGGTATTTCGCAAATACGTATTTCAAGTACCGTATTTTGCAGTATTTCCAGTACGTATTCAGTACGTATATTCAGTACGTATTCAGTACGTATTCCATACGTATCCAGTTCCGTATTTTCAGTACGGTATTTTGCAAGTACCGTATTTCATATACGAGGTCTCGTGTGAACGAGGCTACTAATTCACATTTCGTTACGATCGTACACGCACATGCAGCTGCGCACCGTGTGCATGTATGTTTAGGCCTATGTATCAGGAGTCAATAATAATAGATTATGTTATTATTCACTCCTGATATCCTATCGCCAGCTGTGCGCGCGTCGACGCGAAAATCGTTTTCAAAGGAAGTGTACTCATTTGGCCTTGTTATGTGGGTGTCACTTTCCCCCGGGCGTAGATGGACGGTGCCGTTACGTGACAGCACTAGTCACTTCGTACGCTTCAAAGTCCAAATCTTCCACAGAAAGATTCCACAGTCATACTTCCGTGCTAGACAGTAGACATGGCCTAATTTCCCTAACCCTAACCCTAATCCTAACACTAGTGCTGCCACATCACGTGACCGTCCATCTACGCCTGGGGGAAAATTAATCCCTTGTTATGTAGTCAAATAGTTATGCATCAGGAGTAGATAATAGGGAATTCCCTATTATCTACTCCTGTTATGCATGTAACACAGTTGTCGTCACCACTGCATCGATCACCATTTGCATTTGGTTGTCAATCAAAGTGCCACGTGTCGAGAGCACGTGGCTACAACCATGCAGTTGTCTAGTAAGATAAGATAACCTCTCGATGATGGCGTACGTGTGCACGTACACGTGCGTGCGTTCGTGCGTATACACGTACACGTGCGTGCGTTCGTGCGTGTACACGTACGTACGTACACGTGCGTGCGTTCGTGCGTGTACACGTACACGTACACGTGCGTGCGTGTGCACGTACAAAAGCGTGCGTGCGTGTGCACGTACACGTGCGTGCGTGTGCACATACACGTGCGTGCGTGCGCGCGTGCGTGTGCACGTGCACAAGCGTGCGTGCATGTGGACGTACACGTGCGTGCGTGTGCACGTACACGTGCGTGCGTGTGCACATACACGTGTGTGCGTGCGCGCGTGCGTGTGCACGTGCACAAGCGTGCGTGCATGTGGACGTACACGTGCGTGCGTGTGCACGTACACGTGCGTGCGTGTTCACATACACGTGCGTGCGTGCGCGCGTGCGTGTGCACGTGCACAAGCGTGCATACATGCGTGCGTGTGGACATACACGTGCGTGCGTGAGTGCCCCTCCGGTTCACGGACCCCCTGAAACCAATCTACGGACCCCAAAGGGGTCCATATGGACCACATGTATAAGAACCCCTGATCTGAGTGAGCCCATGATCTAGATGCCATATTATCAGGAGTAAGATAATATAGGAATATCCTATAGGTAATCCTATATTATCTTACTCCTGATATTATGATATAGTGCCATGATTATGTTTCCGAATGCAGAAATTCTGAATGCGCTCGACAGGTGGAGCTTTGTGCAAGCACAATGGCGTACTCCTGGCAACAAATTCCTGCTGGTTATCAACAGCAAAACGTACGCGCAGTTAGCCAACAACGACAGCAAGTACCTGGGTCTTATCAACAACAAGCACCACCACAGGCACAAACTATTGACCAAAACTACCTGTGGGACATATTTCAAAGGTATTATTACACATGGTTACCAGGTTAGCTTGGCGCTCCCGACGAGCTCACACTGTCACTGTCACTGTCACTAACGCTGAGAGGGTCTAAATACCGTCTATGTTCCCAAGGGCAAGGGTACTGCCGGAATACCGGAACGTACCCTGGTACTATATAATATGCCGGACTGTACCTCGCCTACTCCACTAACCCTAACCCTAACCATAACCATATCAAATAGTTACCAGGGTACGTTCCGGTATACCGGACCGTACCCAGGCCCAGGGTACGTTCCGGCAGTACCCTGGGGGACATAGACCCTATAAGCGTCACTAACGCTGAGAGGGTCTATGTCCCCCAGGGTACTGCCGGAACGTACCCTGGGTACGGTCCGGTATACCGGAACGTACCTGTACCCTTGTACTATCTAATATGCCGGACCGTACCTCGCCTACTCCACTAATGAGTCTAGGGAGTCGCCTACGCCTACTCCCTAACCCTAACCCTAACCCTAACCATATCAGATAATTACCAGGGTACGTTCCGGTATGCCGGACCGTACCCAGGGTACGTTCCGGCAGTACCCTGGGGGACATAGACCCAATGAGCGTCACTAACGCTGCCAGGGTCTATATGTCTCCCTGGGTACTGCCGGAACGTACCCTGGTACTATCTAATATGCTGGACCGTATCTCGCCTACTCCACTAACGAGTCTATAGGGAGTCGTCTACGCCTACTCCCTAACCCTAACCATATCAGATAGTTATCAGCTAGGGTACGTTCCGGTATACCGGACCGCACCCAGAGTACGTTCCGGCAGTAACCTGGGGGACATAGACCCTATGAGCCTTACTTGAACAGATTCCATTTGACGTGAGAGCTCTCTGGTAAGGCCCGGGTGCCAGATGTGTGCAGCATATTACAGAATCGGTCTGACGTAACCACAGTAAATTTGTACGAGATCTTCACAGCTAAGCCTAGATTTTTTTAGTATACGAAGTATGAACATTATTTTACTGGCTCTAGCCACTAAATCTTGAACGTTTATCACCCATTTAAGATTGTGCTGGAACATACACCCAGGATCTTCAATGTTGTCAAGTTTTCCAATTGAAAGTGTTCTAAAAAAAGTTCAGCATCTTGAGGTCTATTTCTACCAAAGTACACCTGCATAACTTTGCATTTTGCAGGGTTAAGTTTTCATTTTATTTGAAAATGCCTAGCGCTGGATACATGCGAGAACGTTGTTGATATATGACGGAGCGTGATGTGTCATGATAGTGGCCATGGCTTCGAAGAGGAGGCTATTCATGGTCATTGCATGAATAAACATAGCGTTTTCATGAAATCTATTCATGTGCAATCAAAATAAGCATTTTTTGGGGGTAAATGGCATGTCTGTTTCATTTGATCTATTTGTGATACTTTTGAAGATATAACCAGCATAGTTCCATAACTGTTTACCATACTGCTGTTATGTAGTGTTAGCATTATAGTTGGCATTACCATTAGGGATTAGAGTTGTGGATTATTTATTTGATAATTTATCAGTTCACAACTGATTATAGTACCATCTCACATGCAACTTTATTAAGAAGCACAGTGAACAGCCATAGTGCTGTGCTGGTACATCTTCAAAAACATCACAGAGAGATTACATGAAAATCATATGTTAATGCATGCTTTATCCCATAATTTCTTTCCTCTTCAAAACCTTGCCCACACTTTCATAGCGAATTAAGTTCATTGGAAGTCTTGAAGTACGCTGGTTGTTGTTTTACGTTATGTGGGTTGTAGGCTGTACAATAAAGTTAGGTAAGAAAGCGTGACCGCCAATTTCGCACATTTGAAGTAGTTCAAAAACTACAGTGAGAACAGCATTTGGAGACACAACAGCATTCGATGTGAAGGTGGGTATGCAGCAGGGGTGAGCAATTAGCCCCTTTCTGTTCATTCTGATGATGGATGTGCTGAGCGCGGAGCTGAGAGAAACTGATGGATGGGAACTGTTATTTGCCGATGATCTTGCAATAGTGGCGGAAACTGAAGAGGCGCTACAGGAGAGAATGCTGCAGTGGCAGGAAAGTTTACAGGGAGGAGGGCTGAGTCAGTCAGAGGTGGTGATAAGCAGTAAGAAGGGAGGTGAACCGATACAGATAGTCGACAGTGCTGGAGTGGAGATGAGGCGGGTGAACAAATTCAAGTACTTGAGAGCAACGATGGCGGAGGCAGGAGGATGTGAAGTTGAAATTGTGGATCTAAGGGCATGGAGAAAATGGAGAGAACGGAGGATGTTGCCTTGGATATTGGGGGTTTCACTGAGAGAAAGAAGGACATGAGGAGGTACGATGAATAGCTGGAGTAAGAGACATTAAGGAAGTCATAATGCAAAGTAAGATAAGATGGTATGGTCATGTGGTTAGGAAGGAAGATGAGGAGCAAACGAGGAGAGAAGGCAGAAGCCGGTGAGAGGAAGATAGAAGAGAGGGCAACAGAGAATTAGATGAAGGGATGGAGTGGAGGCGGAGATGAGAAGGCTTGGAGTAATGGAGGACAATGAATGCGGCCGATTGAAGGAGGTGGAGAAGCATTGTCAACAGGGAGGTCAGCCCCTAGCTGACTTTTCAGCATGGATCATCCGTGAGAAACTATAGGAACAAGAAGAAGAACAAGCAATAGGATTTATCTCATTTTTGTGATATCATCTCGTGGCCTAAAAGCACAAGCAAGTACTTAAATACTTCATTTGGCAAATAATAAACTATTGTATTTTGACTTATTTAGGGTGGATAAAGACCGTAATGGCCATATAACTGCCCATGAGCTACAACAAGCTCTTTCAAATGGTATGTGTTTTTATCTTTGTCTCTTATCCTATGTGTCATTATAGGTAAAAAAATAACATGTAATTTAGAAATTCATGTATGAATGTATGAATGATAATGTTTTGTGTAGTATGATTCAAAACAGTGCAGATTATGCTACTGGTCTGTAAGTCTGATTTACTTTCAGGAACGTGGCAGCCTTTTAATTTTGAGACTGTAAACTTGATGATTGGTAAGTTTTAGTTTTAATGGAAAAGTGGTGAATATTGGTGGAAAAGCATATATTGAATTGGATCCTAATTCCTAACAACAAATAACAGCCATTCACAGGAAAATAATACAGTAGATTGCATGTGAATGTCATGGTATCTTTTATGTGCACCACTGTGTGACGTTGGCGATTGCTTGGTGTCGGAACGTCAAGATCTTTAATTGCATTTTAGTTGTACGCCTATGAATAATAGGTGTTTATAATTGTGTTTTATGCACGAGGTATATGTACCTTTAGATTTCAGAATTTTTGTTTTAGCATGAGCTTACTTTATAGTATGGCTCATAGGGTCTATGTCTCCCAGAGTACTGCAAGAACGTACCCTGGGTACGGTCCGGTATACCGGAACGTATTCTGGTAACTATCTGATATGGTTAGGGTTAGGGTTAGGGAGTAGGCGTAGGCGACTCCTTAGACTCGTTAGTGGAGTAGGCGAGGTACGGTCCGGCATATTAGATAGTACCAGGGTACATTCCGGTATACCGGACCATACCCAGGGTACGTTCCAGCAATACCCTAGAGGACATAGACCCTCTCAGCTATGGTATGTAGTACACTGGCTTGTTTGCAGGCATGTTTGATATGGATCACTCTGGTACCATCACGTTCAACGAGTTCTCTGGGCTGTGGAAGTATGTGACAGATTGGCAGCAGACGTTCAGATTTTTTGATCGTGACAACTCCGGCAGTATCGATCAGAATGAATTGAAAACGGCGCTCACATCATTTGGTAACCTTAGTCTACCAATCTATTGCACCCTGGGGTTATTTCTATGCACCATTTGTCTTCTACACATTCATAGAATTTTAGTTGATAGATTTTTATTTTAGTATTTGTTTTACATACATAAATCTAACTTGTGCACGAGCAAGTCAAAGAGTTCATTATGGCAATTGTTGATAGCAACCCTTCCCTCTATTACAATACTATAGTCTATCTCATAATCTGTGTTTAAGGGTTTATTGGATAAAGTTAAGCAATTCAGGAAGAGAATAAAAAATATCTGCCCCACATGAAGGCATGTTACCCTTACAATTGCTTGCATCTTATGTCTAGGTTATCGATTATCGGATCAGTTTTACAACATGATTGTGAGAAAGTTTGACAAGAGTCGACGTGGGACTGTGGTATTTGATGACTTCATACAGTGCTGTGTACTTATACAGGTAAACCTTATAGTAATTTCCTGTATAACTTGACCTTGTTATGATGGCAAACGGCACGACGACTGAGTAATATTATACATTCGTTAGCTGTCAGCTTGACCATAACTAGCTTAGAAATTTCAAGAATTTGTGTACTAATGTTTAGTAACATTATAGTGTAAATCTTGACATGTGTAGCGTTTTGTGGTCTTCTGCGCTACCCGATGGCGCCACCTGTCAATACGTAGTAACTAGCGGTTTACCTTACGTACGGTGCAGTGCAACACGGTGGATAGTAGCAACGAGAAATACAAGATAGATACTCCTACCTCGTTTGTCCGGATGGGGTGTTACGGCGGTGTCGTTGCCACCCGGACCCCACTCTCTCTCGAGCGCCTCGGTGCTACCGCGCTCACTCCGTAGTACCCAACCCAGCATTCGTTCCGGCTCCGGTTTGATAGCAGGGGTTAGTCAACAATGCCAGACGACGGACAGCACAGGACAAACACAACACAATCAAAACCGTGTTGTGTTGCGCCGTGTTGTGTTGTGTTTGTCCTGTGCCGTCCGTCGTCTGGCATTGTTGACTAACCCCTTCTATCACACCGGAGCCGGAACAAACGCTGGGTTGGGTACTACGGAGTGAGCGGTAGCACCGAGGCGCTCGTGAAAGAGTGGAGTCCGGGTGGCGACGACACCGCCGTAACACCCCATCCGGACAAACGAGGTATCATTTGTGTAAGGCCACTATCCACCGTGTTGCACTGCACCGTACGTAAGGTAAACCGCTAGTTACTACGTATTGACAGGTGGCGCCATCGGGTGGCGCGGAAGACCACAAAACGCTACACATGTATACATATGCATTCTTTAGTAGTAACAACATGATAGGGACAATAATATGGAGAACAATAACTACAATGAACAGTCATATCATTGGAATACTCAGTGTAGCGTGTGACGAATATACTGATCCTCCCCCCATTGTTTTGAGAGTGCGTGATATAGTTACCCAACCTTGTAACCAGTGCATGCAACAGGATTATAATGCTCAGCCATCTCATTTTCACAAGAAAGTGAACTGCCTTTTGTTTCTTGGCTAGTAATGTTTTTAAATTAGTTTTTTCTATAAAATTTCAGACGGTCACTAATGCATTTCGGCGATATGACACGGACCAGGATGGATTAATCACAATCAGATATGAGGATTTCCTGACCCTTGTATTAAGCCTGAAGATGTAATAGAAATGTTTTCATTTATAGTTTCTTAAGCCTGGTGCACACGCAAGCTATATGCTACGGTTTTAGTCGTCGGATGTTAACACAGGAAATAATTGGTGTATCCCGCACACGCTACGCCGTGTGCGCTGGTTACCGATTAACATCGGGATAAACATTGCGAGATCGATCATGTGACTTTGGAATTGGCATTGTTATTAAGAGCATGAGTGATAGCTTTTAACGCATGTGACCTCTTATTGCGGTCTTTGTATTCAGATGATGTTGTGTCATAGAGACATTTATGCTGCGACCATATATCAACAAGTAATGCTTCCTTTTCGTCGTCCCAAAAAAATGCGCGGCTTCTATGAATGCTGCCATTTTGTGGATCATGTGATTTTTGCTCGATGCTGATTGGCCCTTGTAACCAGATTTTTCCTTTGAACCCCACACACGCTACGGTCCAATTTTATCTGTGTGGTTTTTATAAATAGATATCGGTAGATATCAAACCAGCTTGATATGCTCTGATCAGTAGCAGAAAAAATCGCAGGATAATGAGACCGCACATGCTCCGATTTCACCCGCCAGTTGGGAACGGGAAAAGTTGTACAGAAAAAAGGTGTTTAGAAAGTCGTACAGAACCAAAAAGTTGTACAGAAAAAACCATAATACAGAAAAAAAAAAACCCACAAGGTGGGCCATGTGCGCCAGGCTTGAGTTCAAGAATTAAAGATATGAAAACTCAATTTTAAAATAGAATAAATTTTTAACAATATTTTAAATGAAAGTATAACTATGCGTGTGTTCTATATAATACTGTATGTTTTGATATTATCCAATTTCTCTTAATGTATTTATATACATAAGTATACCTCAAATCAGTGAAACGAAAATGGCTATATTGCTTATGTTTTGGCAGCTTCAATCACTATGCCTAGGGTTGGAATTTTCTGAGATCACTATATTGAGGGTCACATATATGTATATAAATATATGAATGTAAATTTATGAGTAGGCTCTACATTTTCTTCTATATTTCAGTCCAACTTGTTATAGTGCACAGACGTCTCTGGTTTTGTGTTGTAGTCACATGCTGTCTTTGCGACAGTGTTGTATAGGAATACATAGCATAGTCATATAGCATTCATTATTCACTCGATAGTAGTGCATTTTTAAGATTTAATCACATTTATTTGTACAAACACATGTATAGTTTTTATATCGTGTTTTATTATTGGAAATAAAATCAAGTACTTTTTATATCACAATTTACTAATAAATTACTATTAGAAGATTCGTTTAATTTTTTTTGGGCAAAATTAAAAGTAAATGATAAATTACATAGTGGTACATGGTAACAAAACAAGTTTAAAGGGATGGTTTACTCTAGGTTCTAGGGTTATTTTCAGTTAATTTAGGTTAAAATTACGCTACATAAAAAGTTTCATGGTTCAATCACCATGAGAATATATTATTAAAAATGTTTTAAAACTAACGACTACAGTTTGATTACAACGACGGTGGCGCCACTCAAAGCGCACGATCTGATAAGTTGCGCAAAACCACTCCAGCCAAGGGCTACAGACCGAGGGGTGTTTCTTATTTTATTCATTTAAAAGTAAAAGCATGTAATATCTTATAAACAACATATAGTTCAGTTATAATATGGATAAATTTGCCCTAAAATGAATATCGTTCGGTTAAATAGCATTTAGGTATAAATATAATTGCACTTTTGTGATTAGCCCTCGGTCTGTAACGTGCAAAATAAATTGTCAAATACGAAACTTTTTTCGGGGTGGCAGCACAGTCGCGGGTGTCATGGCGCCATTCAAATTTCGTAGCGTTGATGTGTAATATTATAACAATTAAATTAGGTATCTGGTAACAAATACGTGTGGGTATAGACGATTTGTTATACAGTAAGTACAGTCCCTTTAAAATAGCGTGATCACAGAATAAAACGTTTAGATGTAGTATATAAATGTAGTATGCATAAAATTGTAAACTAATTTGTGTTGAAAATGCACTTTCACTGGTAGTAACCCTAAATTAAGCCATATATTAGCCAATCTGTGAAAAAATTTAAAAGAAGCTAATTTCAACTGATTTGGGTAGGTATGGGTATGGACAACTACCAAAAAAAGTAAGGAGGATAGGGGTTGGGGAAATTTTATTAGAGGTCAAAGGTCATTGACCTCTGCCTAAATCATATAAAATTGTATTTCAGCAACAAAATATGGTATATAGATGATCTTGGTGTCAAAATGCACAGGATTACAAAAGAAGATGACATAAGATAATTATTGACCCTTGGGACCAAATCCTGACCTCTGAAAATGAGGTCAAAGGTCAAAAAACTGTTTTATCACTAAAATGTCATATTTATAACAGGAAAATCACCATATTATATAAAAATGAGCAAAAAACAAACAGAAGAGGCTAATTTCAACTTACGTGGTGGATATGGGGGTTATTATTTATTCCAATAGCAGAGGGGGAGGGGGAAATTACCTTTCTTGGGATCAAAGGTCATTTACCCTAGACTATCCCTAACATTTTTGCAGGGCGCCCTTCTCTCTGAAGGGCGTTTGCAGGGCGTTAGAAGGGCGCCCTGCAAACGCCCTCCATAAGTGCTACGCCCTGCAAACGCCCTCCTGAGGCTTAGAAATTTTAGCACCATTCGAGAACGCCCTGCAAACGCCCTTCTGAGACATAGATATTCGAGAAAGCGTCTGAGACATAGAAAGCGTCTGGAGAAAGACAGCCAGCACGTCAAGTTGATTTCTGCATGGTTTTCAACTCATAACCCCTCATAGAGTTAGTATAGATCTGTTTCATTTACTGATAGATAGCACAGAAATCATTCCACATTTCAGTTACTATTTGTGGAACATTTACTTATCATCTATGTAAAATAATATTTCATTTTTCATTTCAGGTAAAAGACCCCAACACCATTACTTCGCTGTCTATTGGAGTAACAACTACCAACAAGTCAATTGTCAACTGTGACGATGCAGTGAGGATAGGCCATGAAATGCAAAAGGATCTTGATAATGAGTCACCGGTTAAGAGCATGAAGACATCAAAGAAATGCAAAAATCTGGCTGAACTTCAGAAGAAAGTAAAGGTAGGCGACAAGAAGATCTACATCGAAAAGACCCTTCTTTTCAATAGACTGATTTCCATGGCAGAGAGAGATGAAGGGATCGAACACATATTCAAATTTGAGCTGACCCCGGTCCCAACATCTCTCTTCACAATGGATCGCATGATGAGAAAACCCAAAAAGCATGAATTTGGCAAGATGCTCAAGGAAACAGCTACAAAACTTGACGTGGACATAAACAGCAAGATGCATGTTGTTGATGAGGGTGGCTACTTCATCAGGTAAAGTGTCCAGCGGTGCAAACCATCAAGACTATAGTTGATACATATGTCAGATATGTTGACAACAAATTCAAGGATGCTACTGTAGTGTTTGATGGCTACGGGGAGGAATCATCAACGAAAGACCATGAACATATGCGGCGGATGGCTGGGAAGAAGGTTTCTCCGGACATGAGGATCACACCGGAATTGACTATATCATGTGACAGAGAGGTTTTCCTGGCAAATGAGAAGAACAAAGGAGCCTTAATCACGATGATATCTGCAGAGATGGCAAGCCACAATATCACTGTACGCCAAGCAAAAGATGATGGTGACACGCTGATTGTTAAGTCTGCAATGGACTTGGTCGCAAGTGTTAATTCCCCAGTTGTGTTGTCGCCCAGACCCTGATATTTTGATATTGCCTGCTTGCCTATCATAGCCTATCCACTGTACTAATTTGTATTTACAAGCAGATTTTGGTGGTCTTTACGACATCTCTAGCATAGACATCGGAGACAAAGAAGAGTTCCTCTTCAAGTATGGCTGGTCTGGAAACGACACTGTTTCATGCATTCATGGACATACCAAATGTGCTCTCTACAAATGCAGATTTCCTGCCAGTGTCATTACTGCATTCACAAGTCCCACTTCAACCGACTCCATAATTCGAACAGCTGGATTAAAAGCCATGCAGATCACATATGGCTGTGGGGATACTCCCCTAGAAAAGTCTCGCTACATGAAGTTCAAGAAGCAAGCAGCAAAGGGCAACATCGATCCTGACCGCCTACCACCAACGGAAGATGCAACAGCTCAACATTCCCTTCGTGTCCATCTTCAAGTTGTGGTATGGAAGCATCTTGACACCTCTATTCTTGATCCCAAAGAAAGAGGATGGGAGTTAGATTCCAACAGAAAACTCAGACCAAAAATGCTATCTGTTTGGTATCGCGCCAGACAACCTTCTGAAAGTAATTTGTTGCAACTGCAAGGAAGGGGAGAGGCAATGTCAAACAATGAGATGCAGCTGCATGAAAGCTCGCATGTCGTGTGTATCTGCATGTGGAGTGTGCTGTGGGCATTGTGACAATGGAACCGATAGCATAGATGCAGAAGAAGAAATTGGTAGCAATGAAGAGGAAACAGACTGAGTATTATTAATTTGTTGTTGTATCTTGGTATAATTCTGTTACTGTTACCAATATGATATGATATTTGATATGATATTTTAGTGATAAGACGTCTATTTTTGACCTTTGACCTCATTTTCGGAGGTCAGGAATTGGTTCCATAGGTCAGTAAATTCTATGTCATCTTCTTTCGTAATCCTGTGCATTTTGACACCAGATCATCTATATACCATATTTTGTTGCTGAAATACAATTTTATATTGATTTAGGCAGAGGTCAAGTGACCTTTGACCTCTATAAAAAAAATTCCCCACCCCTATCCCTCCTTACCTTTTTTGGTAGTTGTCCATACCCATACCTACCCAAATCAGTTGAAATTAGCTTCTTTTAAATTTTTTCACAGATGAACCTTAATTTAGGGTTACTATGGTGTTGTCGCAATTGTTCTTTTGCAAGTTAGATATGTATTGAGGAAGTCGTACTACAACAAAAGTGTTAAGATTTTCACAACCTGGACAACAAGCAATACAAATTCCATTACCAGCTATAGTGCTTTGCTACGATACGCCGAGCTATTATTATTTCAGTTTATTTGTTACAAAATGGGCACTTTAGCTAATCATGTACTCTGGAAGCTGTTACTACATTACACATGCAGCAATAACTAGTGTTTTTGCTGATAGGAAATTATGCATTCCAGTCATTCTCATAGGTCACTTCTCTTCATACATATTATCTATAGGCCATACTGTGACTGTCTTCACAAGACTTTAAAAAAAAGTTCAAACTGCGTTGCATATTTTAGGCTTGTTGAGAACTTTTTCGGGCACACAATATGGTCACACAGGACTACACTGCTCAACCTATACTCTCTCGATTCATCACGATTATATGATAATAAACTATTTAAATATCAATAACAATAACAAGTGCCACAGTGCGACAGCGCTCAACTGAGTGTACTGTAGCCGGGTATTCTTCTGATAAACTCACTGGGCAACCGAATCAAGTGCGCCCTCCGCCACCGTGTTCGCGCTCAGTAGATATATCTAGGATACTACTAATGCGTCTAAAATCTATGATAGGCTTTGCTATACGGTAGTGCAGAATAAAGATACAGCTGTGAAACTTTAATGACTTCGATATATTAACAACTTCGCACGTCAGCGGAGAAAGTACATTCATGGTCCTTTCAATAAAATGATTAAAAATGGTTAGGGAGTCACCGCTGAAACAAAAAAGTTTGCACTCGGTTTGTTAGACCATGTACCTCAGAAATGTCTGATATCTGACCTTTCCCCCACTGCCCTTTGACTTCCAATTTCGCACTGGTGATGTGGTTTTCCCGCCCCCCCCATCACACGTATACATTCGAATATTACGAGCCGGTAGCGTGAGTTGTTGTTGACGATTTGCTGCGCCATTCCGATATTTCCTCCATAACCTTAAGTTAAGGGTGTGAAAATATTCCCCTCCATTCGACACATGTCTGACCTTGACCCAAAAATCGACATCGCGAGTCCTTTTTCGCCGAATCCCCCCCGAGCCGTCACCGAATATCAGACCGTACGGTCGGAGCGGTTAAGATTTGTGCCCGTAAACTGTGGACCACGACGGACGACATTCATGCCATTCTACAAGGCTGCCATCTGACCTTCGATCAGCTGAGCTCAAGAAATCATCTATATGCAATTAAGCACAGTCACATTCTGCTCACACATATTACCTTTCGTTTAATGAAGACCAATGATATAGACAAGTTTTAATACCAATACGACAACGTCAATATAAAAAGATTCTGCCAGATGAAGCACAATGATGGCTGGTCAAACTAGTCGGGGGTTGTTGTTTGGGTTTAACAAATATTAGTTAGAATGTATTTTCGTGTACAAAACTCATAGCAATGATGATACAATAATTGTGGGCGTACCGTACTAAATAACTGTGCATTCTGCCCCTACAGGTAGTTGATCTAATCTGACCCCAGCTAGATAACGAATGTTATAAAACATCATAGACATAAGTGGGCATGCGTCTGTCCCAGCAACCGGTGCCTCACCTCATCAGCATTGATTCGAGGTCTTCGCCCACCTATATACGCAACAAAGTATTTCGAATAAACTATCGAAATATCTTGACCTCGCGGGCGCGAAATGGGAAGACCTCAAACACAGATCTACCATTTCAGAAGTCTTACAGTTAGTTATAGCAGTTTTATTTGCGAATGTTATGGCGTTAACTCTCAGTGCGTGAGTGAGAGGTGAGGCCGTAGCTGTTGGCATTAGCTTCCAGTGCCTCAGATTGACATCAAATGAAACAATTATCTGATAGGCGTGAATTATTCAAGGCATTCAATAAGAAGCCCACAATTGTATGTCGTTTGAGTTAAACTATTCTTGTATCAAAGGAGACATTTGACAATGATTCTATTTTTTTTTTACAGTTACGACCGGAGCATAGCCCTACTCGTAGACAGCGCCTCCGGGCGCGTATACTATAGTTGCTTATGTGCGCCGGTGCGCCGGGACGCAGTTGAACTGTTATGAAGTTGACAGCACGTACACGAACACTACTCTTAGTATGATATAGATTTTGAATTCTATCTGAGTAGAGGTTGAGCGGGTCACGTTTCCCCTTTCAATTGGCTAGTGGGAAGGAACGAAATTATCACGCCCTTTGGATTACATTGCTTCCTCATTGTTACAGTGTCTGTGTGATAAGCTGTCACGTAAACCTATGTATTTACTACATTTACATCAGGAAAGATCGAATATGAAATGCGTACATGACTAATGTTAATTATGACCGAAACTCAGGTACAGACTATGTGTTAGCGACCCCGTTGCATGCGCATGGCGGGCTTAGGTCTGTAATTATGACTGAGATGCTAATCATCGTAACGGTGATTTGATACATTTCAGTAACTCTTATGGAAATGAGCCAATGACGCGGTTCGCATACATAAATTAGGGTATAAGATGCACCAACTGAGCCCAGTACTGCATTAGCACCGCAATGAATACATGTTATCTATTTATGTTATATTATATTATGGAACTATATATCCATATATCATGCTAAATTTTATTCTCTGAATATCCGCTGCATCGTCACACTGCAGCATGATCATATATAGATAGAATATAGATGTGGTGTGTGTTGGCTCTCTAAGATGATATAAATTTACTGAAGCAACAGATGCTTAAAACTTCCCGCGCTTGGAAAAAACTGTACACCAGCACCAGTGAAATTTTCATATATCGAACCCTGGGCATAAACAGTTCTAACTAATCACAACAGTGACACTGTGCAGTGCTCCTTCGGCGGAGCGCCAAACTGTTGCGTACCTCAGAAGCGGGCAAGTAGGATGCCATTCCTTTAACCAATGGCTCTCCTGCCGTCCTGATGACAATGTCCCGTTGGGAAAGCAGCCGGCTGATACAGAGCAAACAACAACTCTGGCATCATCTTCCCTCGAGATTAACGCTGAACAGGGCACGATTAAATTTGGTCCCTGCACTGCAAATGAGTCGTAAGACCAACCTGCATCGTCAATGTGCTGAACAGGCTCAGCCCCTGCTAAATCTGTTCTATCATTTAAGGATGCTAAGATGCTTAGACTCAGATGTCGAGTAGCGGCGAACATGAGATTAGTTGAGAGATATAACAAGTCAAGTGTGCACCTTCGAAATGCGTCAGCAATCACATAAACGACTATAATGATATTGTGGAGCGGGCACTGTTACCTTATTTGGTTTACCGTAGCCGTTGAGTCTTATGTACATGTCGAAGGTAATAATATTCGTCGGAGAGAGGTGGTCCATTATAGGTAAATATTAAGGGTGCGACACTCTAAGGAGGAGTCATAGTCCGCCTGTCTAGGATCTCCTCGCTCCGCTCCGTGCAAGCGCTGATTGTCCCATCGATCCTTGAGAGAAAGAAAATACGATGAAGTTGTGGATTTTCATACAGCTAGTAAAATTTGATCGAATTTTACGTAGACTCACTTACTCATTGTTAAATCATTTTTAACATAAATAAATTGGTACATTACTTGTACAAGATATCCCTGCAAATCAAGTATTATTGAATTAGAACGTACGCATTTGTATTGGAATTACCGCTCCCAACAGTACTACGTTCAGTGAATAATCTCAAACTTGTGCGCAATGCTTCACAAATTTCGGTCTGACAACCCTGCTTATGATTTATCCTGGTCGCATCCTACTCGGTACTACAACTGCCTTTGCTCTGTGAGATCATTTAAGGCACTTTGTCTTTCTCTCGTGTCCGGTATCCCATGATTTCCCTTTATTGAGAGCTACTTCACTATACCTTTTTCTGGTTCGCGTACACCTGATACCACAGACTGTACATGTACTCATTCAACTCATTATGCTAAACGAATAATTCACAGCAAGTTACGTCTGAGTAGGATCTCCCTATTTGACAAATTATTTCTTATAAGTAAGTATATCCCTTGTATCCTTAACCTAATGTTAATATAGTTAAAATAAAATATTTGAAACGAAAGCCCTACGTGTTCATCAGTTTCATTTCTCGTGGGCTATGACAGTATGTCTCAAGGAGGAGCTTTCACTGTATTACCTATTGTTCAACACGAACTACATGTGTCGACTCAGGGGTTAGAAATTTAACTTGCTGATACAATACAGGAGAGTCCACATTCGGACATCCCTTGGTTCCTCTAAAGACGGGAGGTTGCCAGCAAATGAGGGCGCAGGATTTAATTACTATGCCATAGACATCAAATTCTGCACTTTCATGCCATGAATAATGGTCGAGATCTGTAGTTACATTGGAGAGTTTCATGAAAAATTAGAAGATATTAACCGAATGAACCCTGAACTGCTAGCCTGGTTGATCTTTGAAGATTCATGTGGTTGGCTTGCATGTGTCTTGCCCAAATTTTTTTCGGACATCTTGCGTGAAAAAACTATCGCGTAATCCGCGAGGGCGTGCTCTGGAACGAAACTATTACTATAGCAGAATATTTCAGGGAGTCAACGGACTCCTGGCATATGATGTCAAATCAGGGAGTCCGACAGTAAATCAGGGAGTATTTGACTCCAGACTCGCGCTAATTTCGCACCCTGTGTCGACTATACATGTGACAGTCACACTCGATTTTCTGGTTCAAAGATGTGTCAATTGTATATCTCGTGCAAAATCAATGTCAGTTTTTCAGTCAATGCCAGTTCGTAGCTTGATAAACATAAACCATAGTACAATCCTGACTGATCCTGGTAACTGTATAAAGATTTGAAATCTGAAATCCAGGCATGAAATCATAGCTTTTGAGGACGGACTTTTACATGCATACACATCATACATACCACACAAACTAGAACCCGCAGCTCTGGCCAATGTGTCTCGGACACAACCTGCTCTGCTATGGAGTCACTACCATCCTCATTGCTGCCCATTAACCAACGAACAAAGCCTCCCATAACACTCCGACAGGCACTTCCAGATCCTTGTCTGGAAAGTATGCATACACACATGGTAGGTGAGTTAAACATTCGCTAACGAGTTGAATGTTAATTTCACTAGGGCAAGGCAAGTGTTGCCTTCTGCTTAATCAGAAATGTTAAGGCACCACGGAAAGTTTGACGAATAGCCAAGGCAAACATTTCCCCCAAAGAAGGGTTATCAAGAAAACAAATTTTTTAGAAAGTTTCCATGCAACATAAAGCAAAATACACATGTATGCTACATGGTGAAGCCATACCAGGTAGGGTAGCTACGACAGTTAACGACCATGCACAATAAATATTATCATGAGCTAATAATACATTATGCTAATAATACATGTATTACTGGCTCTTGATAATATCAAATTTGTAGGAGCACAACGTTAAGGATGGCAACCACTACATTTGCTGTCAGTACCATGGTGAAGTTTGAGACCTGCAATAATGTTCAGGCACTTGTAAGGGGAGCTACACACTATAGTATTATTACACATGTTACTTAACAAGGACGTTCTAAGCTAGATATAAGATTTCAAATTTTAACACAGCCTCACCTAGCTATTGCAGAAATATCACCTTCTACATTGAATAGCTGAGCAAGTGTGTATACTGAAAGAAAAATGTGTGACAAAATACAATATTTGACATCTCTTACAATATTTTACTGTTCATTTACAAAGTACAGATTAATGATACTATCATGAAAATTTAATACACTGTTAAAGGACATGAGTATGATATCAATTAGTTATAGTAGCATAGCTACTGAACAAATGTGTGATCTGTTTTAACCTGTGACTTGCAAGAGAGATGAATTACTGATTTAGTTATAAAGAATACACTAGCTTCAATCAATTATTCTTATAATTCTCATCTGCATAGCAACATAATTTTTACACACATAGTCCACCTTACAATAATACAAGTAACAGCACCTAAATATAATAAACATACCGAGGCATGCGTAACCTGCAGCCGAGGATGCCAATCCTGCTGCTGTTGGGAAATTGTTCTCAGAGCATATATGCACATGGTATTCTGAGAAATGCTTGTCCTCACCTCCTGTATCAGAGTGCTTTCGTTTGCGGCACCTACGGCGAACTGAAATGTATCATGACTGAATAAATTTCTTCAAAGGTTCAAGACAAACATTCATATTCAATCGAAATGTGTACAGTAGAAGTCCAAAAATCGGGATACCAGAAATCTGGACTTTTTAAAAACTCAAATTTAATTCTCTGTTTAATAAACTAAAAATAAATAATTTATTTGTATACAATAACTCGCTTTCATTCGTTTACTTTATTTTTCATTTACAATGTTCATTTTTAACCATGACTTCAAGCATTACACGCTTTTTTCGTAGTGGAATTTAAAAAAAAACATTTTTATGAAGTGTCGACTTTATTTTACTTTAAAACTGCTCGTTTTGATAAATAAAGCATGCTGTATTTGCTAATGAATAAACTATCAAAGTTTACCTGTTCATCTCTTCTTTATTCCTCCTTAAATTTGAATTTTAAAAGTACTGCCGAGAATCCGGAAAATCCAAAAAACCGGACAGACCCAATCCTCGATTTCCTCAATCTCTGGATTTTTGGACTTCTACTGTACGTCAATAAATTTGCAAGGATGTTATATCAAAGAAATTTTGACCTCAGCCGTAAAATCATCATAGTGCTACATTATATGACCTTTTCATAAGACAAGATTACTACAGGTAAGCGATAAAACACTATATAAATGAGTTATATATAGTTAAACACATACTCTCCCTGAGACACTTTTGCAGGCGGACATTTTCAATGGACTCCTCTTGACCATTCAGCCAAATTCTGTCCTCAGAGAATTGATGACTAGCAGCTGCCGATGTCTTTGCACAAAGCTATGAACATAATTGTCTTCATTTAATTTTAAAACAGGATAAGCTGTCATTTAATGTGCAATTCCCATTAATATTCATTTCCCCAAAAACAATATAGGACATGTTATGTGTACACGTTTATGCGCTGAGCAACATTTAAATAACACTACTTAGTTTATATACCTGGTCTTGGGAAAGGGTTGCACTGACAGAATCATTTATTGGTAGTATTAGGCTACTGTCCCTTTTTCCCCCTGAAATGAAATACTATGTTATGTTTGTTTGTTTAAATTCATATTAATGAAGATGAGCACAACAATGTACTCAAATCGGACACAGTACATTCGCCAATCATCGTGCGAAATCGTTTCCTCGTAGACACCCGCGAATACCGATGATACAGCGCTAAACGTACGAACACGATTCTCGACATTCTCTGGCCATTAATCCAACGCCATTGCGCGCCTATAATTTCAGACCAAAAGGCAGCACGGCGGCGGAGTCGCTGTTGTTTGCTCTCCTCGATAGGCTGAATGGTGGCGTTTGTGGCTCGCAGGGAGATTGGGAGATCCGACGGCAACATCTCGACGAGCTAATCATGCGGTTGCGTGGCAGTGCGTGAAGGCATGCGCCAGCTATGTACAAAAGGTGGCCTGTGTAGCTGTGTACGGGTGCAAAGGTTATCTCGGCCGAGTGTTGATGCCTAATCTCCCAGCGAGCCACATGCCTCATGTTACATGCTTACATGTTACATGCCTACATGTTACACTCTATTGTAGGCTAAGCCCTGCGCTTTTGTTTGAATTAAGGCGCGGCAATGGCGTTGGATAATGGCGCAGAGAATGTGAGAATCGGTCGTACGTTTAAGGCTGTATCTCCGATTGCGGGTGTCTACGAGGAAACGATTTCGCACGATTGATTGGCGAATGTACTGTGTCCGATTTGAGCTCAGTTGGATGAGTTACGTGTAGTAAATCGTAGGTATTATAAGGCTAGTAAATGACGAATTTCCCTTGTTTATTGATGTCACACTCCTCCCTATTATCTACTCCTGATTATTGTATCTAGAGCCATTGACCATGACCGTGTGAACGCGGTAATAATACTAATACTAATAGTAATATATCATTTAATGATTTATATGCGCATGCGCTTGCGCCGTTGGGGTGCGAAGGCTTGCTCATAATATTCTTAATAATAATTAATATTAAACGTTATTATGATATAGTTACAGTACTCAGTAGGCTCATACAAGTGACAATTCGTAATATCAACTGTTAAATAATTGTACGTGTATACATACAGTATTTGACTACAGCAATGTTAATCGGTGCCGTGCACGTAACGATTTTCATGATATATTGCCGAAAAACAACACAACAAACTCATGCAAAACCATAAACCATAAAAAACTGCCTCGCCCTCTATAATTAAAAGTTCGATGACCATCTACCAGGAAAAATGTCTGCCCCCACGAAAGTTTATCTTTTTTGTGTCAATTCAATGCATTATTGCCGATTACGTAAACTACAACGTAAAAGCAAAATATTTTTTAAAGGCATCGCTAGAGTATGTGTCATTTAATTAAAAAGGTTTCATTACTAACATTAGATTATCTTATAAATTATTGCAAATGTGGAGCAACTCGTTCATTCAATAATTGAACAGTTAGCCCTCAGTTACTTAGGTTTAGGGTCCTACTACTACTACTACTAGTACTACTATTACTAGTACTACTAGTAGTAGTACTACTATTACTATAGCCCGACCAGGCTGTGCGACGGATTGTCTATACGGTATTGTAACCCTAGCAATACCGTTTCTTGGAGCTACTATTACTAGTGCTGATACTCTATGTCCCCCACGGTACTGCCGGAACGTACCCTGGGTACGGTCCGGTATATCGGAACATACCTTGGTAACTATCTAATATGCCCGACCGTACCTAGCTCTAGTACTATAGCCCGCTTACAAGTTACATTGACTGCCGCTGGCCAGCGGCAGTCAATGTAAGCGGGCTATAGTACTAGAGCTAGATCGTACCTTGATTTTCAGCCGATGTTGTAATACATAGGTACCGCTTGTCGGCAGGAAATGCGCCGCTTTATGCTCCCGTTCCTTCCGATCCTTGTGTCCTTCCTCCCCTTTCCGCAAAATATTCGTAACCCTTACCCTGTTACGTTTCACCTCCGGACCTTTTCTACAAGTGTCAGCGAGTCTATACATTTCCAACCCATTAAGATAATCATACAAATTTTGCCGTTCCACCACAACATTGTAAACACTTGGAGCCATCTTTCAAAAATCTCGTGTGAAAATGTCGTAAACATTGCGAAAGGAAAACGCATTTCCGATCATCGCGATATTTTCAAAAGGATTGGGCGCATCAGTGTATATAGGTTGACATTTCTTCTTGGTTTCACAGTTTCATACTCCAATCCAACTTTATAAAGATATCATACAGCAGGGGTCGAAATTATATTTTTATTATGGTATCCATTCGGGATACCAGGTATTGATCTGGTATCCCATTTTTTGGATAGTAATTTTAACCTTCAAAATTCTCATCGCTTGCATTCATTTTTATATACACCTCCACAGTACACTGCAGACGTATTGTCTAGACGCATTGTCTGGTTTGCTTGATACAATGTATACACATCACATTTATGATCAACATCGGCCACGCTTACGCTTGCGCTTGTAAATATGCTATGCCTGCTGTATAATGCTAGTGTGGCATAGTAAGGGTGCCTGAGCCCGCTCAGATCGCGCGCACTCGCTCAGATGCGTTGCTGTATAAAGTTGATAACTCAACAACCACTATCCCGATTTTGACGATTTTATTTTACTATCCCTGCGAGATACCAAGCATTGAAATCTAGTATCCAACACAAGAATATACTATCCCGCGGATATCGGTATACCGCTAATTTTGACCCCTGTACAGGTCTGTATGTATATTTCAAATTTTGCGACATCAGTAGTGGGCGGAACAGGGACAGTCAGGGTACGGTAGGGAGTAAGTGAGGTACGGTCCGGCATATTAGATAGTTACCAGGGTACGTTCCGGTATACCGGACCGGGCGCAAATCTACTTTAGGCACCTTAGGTATCACGAAGTGATGCACAGATTTCTGGGCTCAAGGATGGAGAGCATGTCCAGTAATAAACATCATCCTATCCTATCACCTAATTGTTCTTTTGCAAGTTAGATATGTATTGAGGAAGTCGTACTACAACAAAAGTGTTAAGATTTTCACAACCTGGACAACCAAGCAATACAAATTCCCATTACCAGCTATAGTGCTTTGCTACGATACGCCGAGCTATTTATTATTCAGTTTATTTGTTACAAAATGGGGCACTTTAGCTAAATCATGTACTCTGGAAGCTGTTACCTACATTACACATGCAGCAATAACTAGTGTTTTTGTGATAGGAAATTATGCATTCCCAGTCATTCTCAATAGGGTCACTTCTCTTCATACATAATTATCTATAGGCCATACTGTGACTGTCTTCACAAGCTTTAAAAAAAAGTTCAACTGCGTTGCATATTTTAGGCTTGTTGAGAACTTTTCGTGGCACAAATATGCTCACACAGGACTACACTGCTCAACCTATACTCTCTCGATTCATCACGATTATATGATAATAAACTATTAAAATATCAATACAATAACAAGTGCCGCAGTGCGACAGCGCTCAACTGACGTGTACTGTAGCCGGGTATTCTTCTGATAAACTCACTGGCAACCGAATCAAGTGCGCCCTCCCGCCACCGTGTTCGCGCTCAGAGAATATATCTAGGATACTACTAATGCGTCTAAAATCTATGATAGGCTTTGCTATACCGGTAGTGCAGTAATAAAGATACAGCTGTGAAACTTTAATGACTTCGATATATTAACATTAACTTCGCACGTCAGCGGAAAGTACATTTCATGGTCCTTTCAATAAAATGATAAAAATGGTAGGTCAGCGCTGAAACAAAAAAGTTTTGCACTCGGTTTGTTAGACCATGTCCTCAGAAAATGTCTGATATCTGACCTTTCCCCCCACTGCCCTTTGACTTCCAATTTCGCACTGGTGATGGGTTTCCCCCCCCCCATCACACTATACATCGAATATTACGAGCGTAGGTTGAGTTGTTGAGATTTGTGCCGCAATTCCGTATTTCCTCCTATACCTTAAGTTAAGGGGGAAATATTCCCCCTCCATTGACACATCTTGACCCTTGACCCAAAAATCGACATCCCGAGTCCTTTTCGCGATCCCCCCCGACGTCCCGAATATCAAGACCGTACGTCGAGCGGTTAAGATTTGTGCCGTAACTGTGGACACACGGACGGACATTCATGCGATTCTACAAGCTGCATCTGACTTCGTCAGCTGAGCTAAAAATACTGTATCATGTAAGCACAGTCACATTCTGCTCACACATTACCTTGGTTTAATGAAGACCATGTATAGACAAGTTTTAATACCAATACACAATGTACAAAATTAAAAGATTCTGCAATGAAGCACAATGATGCTTCAACTAGTCGGGGTGTTGTTGGTTTAACAAAAATAATTAGTAGAAATATTTTTGTACAAACTGTATAGCAATGATGATACAATAATTGTGGGTGTACCGACTAAATAATTGTGCATTGTGCTACATTATTTGATCTAATCTGACCCCAGCTAGAACGAATGTATAAAATCTAGACATATGTGGGCATGCCGTCTGGTCCCAGCAAGTGCTCACCCTCATCAGCCATGATTCGAGGTCCTTCGCCCACCTATATACGCAAACAAAGTATTCGAAAATATGAAATTGAGCGAATGGAGACCTCAAACACAACTCACCATTTGAAAATCTCGTATAGCAGTTTTTATTTGCAGATTTATCTTTTCCCATCGATTAGTAAAAATTTATCCTGTAGGTGGCATAGCTTCCAGTGCTCAGTTGCACATCAAAATGAAACAATTATCTGATAGGGGTGAATATTCAAGGCATCAAAAGAAAGCCCAATTGTTGTTGGTTAACTATTTGTATCAAAGGAGACAAATGATATTTTTACAGGTGGGTAATGTTATGAAAGCTACAGCACTACACAACATACCTTAGTATGTATTATATATTTGATTCTATCAGTAGCAGGTGAGACGGTCACGTTCCCTTTCAATTCCTATGAAGAAAAATATAGCCTTTGATTACATTGCTTCCTTCATTGTTACAATCTTTATAGGCTTTCACGAACCTGCTATTATCATTACACAGGAAAACAATATAATTACATGACTAATGTAATCACGAACAGTACAGATATGTTTAAACCACGTTCATGGCATGGGGTTGTCTGTATATGACTGATATGCAAGGTAACGGGATACATTCGTCTTGGCAATGAGGGTTCGCAACATGAATTAGGAAGATGCACCAATGAGTACTGCTATTAGCACAGCAATGAATACATGTATACTATTTATTTATATATATTATGGAACTATATTATTACATGTAAATTTTTTCGATTCGTGCATGTAGTTGCAGCATGATAATTATGGTTAAATTATGAGTTTGGCTCTACAATGGTGAGTGAAAGCACAATGCTTACAAACTTTGATTGCTTGGAATAAAATGTATCACCAGCACAGAATTTCTTTGTAAACTGGCTACTGTTTAACTATCACAAGCGATCAGGAGCGCCAACTTTGCGTACCTCAGGAAGCGGGCAAGTAGGGATGTCCATTCCTTTAACCATGCTCTCCTGCCGTCCTTGATGACAATGTCCCGTGGGAAAGCAGCGCTGAACAAGAGCATACAACTCTGGCACATCTTCCTCGAGTGTGAACAGGCACGCATTTGGTCCGGCATCAAATGTGTAAGCAACCTGCACGCAATGTAATGAACAGGCAGCTGCAAATCTCATCACATTTAAGGATGCTAGATGTAGCCAATGTGATAGCGACCAACATCAAATAGTTGAGAGATATAACAAGTGCAAGTGTGCACCTCGGAAATGCTAGCATCACAAACGACTATAATGAATATGTGGGAGGGCACGCTTACCTTTATTTGTTTACAGTAGCTGTTGTACTGATGGACCATGGTAATAATATCTTTCGAAGTGTCATTTAGGTAAAATATTGGTGGGTATGTGTCTAGGCATGTAGCGTGCAACTGATTGCTATCCTAAGAAAGAAAATACATGAATTGTGGATTTTCATACAGCTAGTATAAATTGATCGAATTTTATATAGACCACTTTAACTCATTTGTTAAATCATTTTTAAACATAAATAAATTGGATACATTTACTGTACAAGAAAAATGCTACAATCAAGTATATGAATAGATACGTACGACATTGTATGAAAATGCCCCCAACATACCTTCATAGTTTCAACTGCGAATGCTTCAAAATTTCGGTCTTTGACAGCCTGTATGATTTTTGTCATCCTACTCGGTACTACATGCGTTGCTCTGTAATCCATTAAGGCACTTGTCTTTACTGTGTTATCCATGCCTATTGAGCTACTTGTCTTCTTTTTCTGGTCGCTAACCTGATAACAGA